CCCCTTTTTATAAAAGCCAAGTGACCCGCGACCCCGATACAATTGAAAAAAGCATTTTTAATAAGGTAATTAAAAAAACAACGAAATTAGTTTTTCAGTATAATTTTATTTTAAATTATGTTTAATAATTAATTTAATGCGATGGTTGAAATTGCATGTTATTAACCAGCCTCAAAATTCGCGGGTGAGATTTTGTTAACGCCAACCTCATATCATTTTCAACATTTAATTCATTCCTCTCAAAATTCTCAACACATGTTTCAACCAACTGTGACAGAATAGCTACCCAGATTATTTTAAGTTTTAAAAAATATATGAAATTATTCAAACTTCAAGGCACCATTAAAAGTAAATATTGCATTATAGTGAAAATTTTCTTTAGTTTACTGCATAAGTTGGCGACCCCACAGAAAACCCGTTGCGACCCCTTCTGGGTCGCGACCCATAGGTTGGGAACCCGTGGTCTATATATAGTCATCATATCTTTAGATATTAATATTTAATGTCTCTGTGCTTCCTTTAGATGTTTATCCTAAGCATAAAAAGGAATCCTAGCTTATTTTTAAATTCTTATTCTTTAGTTCTATATGTCTTAGTTTTATAGTTTAATCCTTAGTCTCTTAATGTAGTCTCTTATATTTTACTAATTATACCAATATATCTTATTTAAATACATATATCTACGTACTTTAATCTCTGTTACAGTATTATATATCACTCCCTTAATCAGAACCGGATGTTACGTAAGATAAATAAGCAAAAGATTACAGCCTCGTGCAGCGAAGTTACAGCAAAGGATTTCACGCTTTTAAATTACAGTAGAACCTCGATTATCCGGACCTCTATTATCCGGATTTTCGATTATCCAGATTGTTCAAAATAAACAAAAATTTTACGAATTTGCTGATTTGCACTTGGCGAATTACGAAACTGTTTATGTACGTGATGGAATGCATAACTTTTTTTGTTTCAACAAAGTCTCACCCGGCACAGTGGCCGTAAACTCTTAAATATATTTTGCGTCGTAATAAAAATATAACTTGACATACGTATTTATAAATAATTTATATTCAAATTACATCATTTCTATGACCAAGGGCGGCGTAAGGCATGGACGACGTGGGCCACCGCCTATGCCTCGCGGTCCGAAGGGCCTCGCGCCTCGAAGGTTTATGCATTACTTAAAAGCCGCGAACGCGACGAAAAAATTTTACTCGTCATAAAACGATAAATAGTTTGTCAAATTTTTATTCATAAAAATGCAGTTTCAACTGCTTTTTATTTTATAAAATCCGTCTTCTTGCGCCACCAGAGGGCCTTTTAAACAATAGGTAGTCTGTTAGCGTTGGTCAGTAGTAGTCCAAATTCAATACGAACGTTTGTTTCTTGAAAATTTGATCACGATTTAAATACAGTATTTACTTTCAATATTACCGATATGTCATCGAAAAGAAAACGTGTTGTATTATAATTAAAAGACAAATTAAAGTATTTGTTTCGATTATCCGAATTATTCCTTTTTTTTTCCGGACTACCTTCATCCCCAATTAGTCCGGATAATCGAGATTCTACTGTATTATTATTATGGGCTTATACAGCCTCCTGTATGTTATAGCTTACAGCCATGAATCTGGTTAACTTCCTACTCTTAATATATAAAATTTAGTCCTCAAGATTACGTATCTTTTATATAATATATATACTATATCAGAATTATTATTCTTATATGCTTTGTTTTTAATATGTAGACTATATTTTAGTCTTTAGTTCTTATATCTTAGTCCTTAATCTATATATTTTATCTTTTGAGTGTTCGATCCTTTATCTTTTATGGATGTTTACCTCTTTCATAGTATTTACTATTTTTAGGAGTGTTCAAAAGAAAATGACTTTTTAAAGAAAAATCGAAATCACATCCTTTGTTTCAGGAAGCTTCGGTTTTCACACCAAAAACATTTTTCTATCTGAACCTTTGTCTTATATTTATTCTTAGACTTGTTGCTTTTTTCATAAAAATTAATTCATTACTTGTGAAATAATGATTAACTCAATCCATTTACAAGCCATTAAGCTATTAACATTAATTACAATACGATAATTTCCCTTCAGAATCAGATCCATTTAACCTGTAATGGATCAAATGATGACCCCAATTAAGGCTACTAACACTTCAAGAGAGGCCCGGGCCACTTATTTTTTTGGCATCCCAACTAATATAGGCTATTAAAAAACTACGTTAAAAAATTCTATTGTACTTTTGAAATAATATAATTCGATAATTTGCGAGAGGCTTTCTATGTAGGTCTCTCATAAATTATTCATGGGGTGTTTTGAGACCCTCCTATGTAAGACTCTGGCTACATTTGACGCCAAGCTCTATTATAGTGATCCTGCTGGTCCCTCTATGATAGAACTTAGCATTAATTAAAAAATTGATTACACGAAAACTTTAAGAAAAAAATGCCTTTTATCGATATAAAACTCTTGTAAAAACGAAATTTTAAAATTACATATAAATTATTATAACTAAAAATTCATTTAGTTGGTGATAATTACATGTTTTCGAGGGTGATTATGGTTCTTTAAACAATTTAAATTTATGAAGTAGAAGCATTAAGTAAAAGACATGACGAGTCATTTTACGATATTTGAAAGCTGTTTTAAATCTAGTTTAATGAATAATTTAGATTTATTATTAAAAACATTTCTTTTTACAGCTACCATACCGAAATGCGCTGGATGCGAACAGCCCATTATGGACAGGTTCATCTTGAAGGTTCTGGATCGATCTTGGCATGCTAAATGTCTCAAGTGCATCGATTGTCAAGCTCAACTGAATGATAAGTGCTTTGCTAGGAACGGCCAAGTTTTCTGTAAAGAAGATTTTTTCAAGTGAGTTTTCTCGTATTATTTTCAACTTTTTGAATTTTCGATAGAAAATTATATAAAATTAACGAACAAACAAAAATATTATTTCAATTTCGTTGTATGTTTAATTTTTTTAAATTTGTAACGGAATAATTTTTCCGTATCTCAATTTATAAAACACTCTTAGACAGTATTTGAAAATAGTTAACTTTCTTGCCACTAGATGGAGCGAGTACGAATTTTTGATACTTTTTGAATTTTATATATTTTTTTCATATAAATGATAAAATAAAATTTTATATCGATATGTAAATTTTCTTTTAAATCATAAAGAACTCGGCTTAAATATTATATAAAGGTAAACTCATATTATTTTCGTAAGTTTTTTTACTATAATAAAAAATTAATTCCCTTTTGCAGATAAATAAATAAATGAAAATTTTATGATTTTGGATTCTTATATCTCTATCTCTATCTAAATTCACTTATTTATTCAATATACGAAACATATTTATCAATAGTTGAAATATCCCGTGAAATATTTAATAAACATCATACCAATGAATACGAAATGGCATATAAAACAATAGAAAAATAAAAAAATAATAATTTTTATATTTTTAATTAATTTTGTGAATTTTAATCTTACTTTCATTATATTTTACACAATTAAACGATTTATATGACATACAAATATAATAATTATTTAATTTATATATGTATAGTCTACGGTATGTGTATGACACATTAATTTTTTAAGTTTTTAACATGAAGACAATTTAATTTTCTAATTTGAGTACATTTAAAATATTCTGCAATATTAAAAATTTTAAATACATATAATAATGTATGTACTTTTATAAACGGATATTTTAAAAATTGCATCAAACTGTATTCAAGCCGTTACAACAAAAAATGAATAAAACTTATTATTTATTTTAAAAATATTTTAATATTGTTTAAATAGATTAAACATTATATAGATATACAATGCAGCCAAAAGTCAGTTAACGAATGTAAAAATTCGGTTTTAGTCAAACTAGATAAAAATTGTTTAAAAATGTTAAAAATTCGCAAATTGCCCAATTGCTTGCGAACAATATAGTTAACTTATTTATGGGCTATCTTGTACAATTGAAAAGTTGTAATTTTATATACAATATTTCGTAAATAGGCGTGAAATCAGTATTTGGCATTTATCTCTTCAGTCAAAGCAAATACTGTATTAATAACATTTAAAAAGTAATAATTATACCTTGTATATTTTCATTTATATTTAGACAAATATAAAAACTTAATGAAAATGATATTGAAAAACAACTTTACTTTCACTCTCTTTATAAAAATGACAAAATTAAAAATTATTAAAAGTAAAAAGAAAATAAAATATATAGGCCTAAATCTAATATTTTTTTTTCCGCTAAAAACTTTTAAAAATGGAAAAATTATGAAAAAGAATTAAAATTTAAAACTTTGTCTAATTAAATTTCTATTTAATTATAATTGACCGGACTGAAAAATGATTAACTCATTATTCATTAAATAATAATTGCAGTAAATAGAGTTTATATAAGTGAAGAGATAGCAAACTCACATGGCCCAAATATCATTCTCTTATTTAAATATTTTATTACTTCAAATTTTGAAAAAGTATATCGTTCTATTCATTATGTTTAATACAAAAGATTTATAAAATAAATTTATAATCAATTTAAAATACTAATAAATTCTTGACAATATTATTTAATAAAAATATAAAATTTGTAAAAGTAACAACCCTTCGATATCTTTGAAAATTTTTCATCTGAAAGTATAATTCTATGATATATAGGCTAATTTTTATGGTTAAATAATAAATATTGAATAGTGAATATAAAAAAATTTATATAAAAAGTAATTTATGAATATAATCAATTATTATAGGAAGCTTTTATTTTTATACAAAGTTTGATTATTTACGATTATTCGAAATCTTTACTTAGAGACACGCTTTAAAAAATGCCAATGCCTGTGACATTTTTCTAATGCCAAATGCAAATACCAAGACTCATTAGAAAATATATTATTTTTATATGGCTTTTAAGATAATCCTAGTGAAAATAAAAATAGATTTTTAGCGGTAAATTTACAGGTAAAACTACTGTAAATTCTTAGCAATAACTTAGTTAAATTGTCAATAAGAATATACTTTCACGTAGATACTGTATATTTTTATTCGTAATATTAAAATTTTATTGGAAAAAATCTTTAAATGTAGGACAAATTATTAAAGAATTAAAGATAAATTGAAATATTTTTAGTTTCTAGGTAAAGTTATTTCTATTCAAGTTTAGTCAATTCGCGTAACATTGTCTGAGGAAAGAATAGAATTTTATTGATTCGATTCAAAAAATTTCATCAATAACTATTGGAAAAGTAAAAAATGTAATAAGAATATGTATAAGCTTACTAAAAACGGATAAAATTTCATCATTTTAATGTGTATTTTATAAGTTATTCACTGATGAAAGTGGCGTTATTTTAGGTATGATCGATGTAACTCAAGCATTAGAAAAAGAATTATTTAAATTATAATTATTTTAGTTTTTTAATTATTAAATATTTTAAAAAAAGAATTAAAATGCGTAATTATATTTAAGTTTATTTCAATTGATAAAATTAAATGGATGATACTTCATCTTATTCCCATTAATATTTATTTTATTCCTATTTTAAGTGAATTGAATATTGTGAGAAATAGTTACAAATTTTACAAAATGTAAATACTAATAAATGAAAAATAAATTTATATTTGCTATAATTTGATAAAAATTACTAGATTTTCAGGTTAAAGAATGGATATTTATGTTATGAAGTAGTTATTTATGCATTAAAGATTATGAAGTGCTTTATAATTTTTTCCTTTATGCATTGTTCTTCACAGCTTTTCTCGTTATGCATTACTCTCCAAACTCTCTTTTTACATTACTCTTTATAGAAAAAAAATTGTAAAAACCTTATAAAAATGATTAATAAACAATTTAATATTAGAAAAGTGTTAGGCCTACTAAAATTATAATACATATAATGCACTATAAATTATATTCAATAACACATTTGATACACTACATTACTAGTTTCAACACGTCATAAAGTGCTTTTTCGTTTATTATATTACACTATAAGATAATTTTGTTAAGAATGTACTGTACAGTACAATAAAGAGATTGTAATTATTCTAAATTCTTGATGATTTATAAATTTTTATTATAAAGTTTAAAAGATGATGAATCAATCATAAATTCACGGACTTTGTATGAATTTATACAAGGTAATGATGTAGAATTTTATTCTAAATCACAAGAAAATAACTTCTTATCAGAAATGTATATTAAATTAAATTAAAATTTTGGATTTTTTCTTCTTTAACACAGTTTTCCCCGATATTTCAGTTGCTGTCCTTCGATTCTCCTTCACATCTGACTGTAACTAGCTCCTTCAACCGATTCTACTTTCATATTGACCAGTCGATTTCATTTTCTTCTTCCTCCATTCCTAAAACCAATCTTTTTCTCTCTGGATTTTAAAAATATTCTAATCCATAGAATTTCGTACAAAAATACTAAAATTTTACTCGAGAAAAATTATATATATTTTTAGATGATCAACTGAAATAAAAATTCTTTTCATTTTTCTTTAATTTTTATTGGAAAATAAAAGTTGTAAAAATATTTTTGTAAATTAAATAAGTGTATTATTATTTTATTTGTGTTATTTTGGAAAGTTTTTAAGAAACAGAATTAAAATGAAGTACTTTTAATCTCTTCTTTTAGTTAAACAAACAGCGAAAGCAAAATCAAAGAAACCGTAAAAATATATTTTTTTTTAAATCTTAAAATATTCTAGAAAATTATAAATAAATTATATATGCCTTAATACATATAATTATCTTAAATTTTTCTCTATTTTATGTAATTAAAAATATATGAAAAGCAGTTCAAAAGTCAGTTAACTGATATATAAGTGTATGAGCTATATGCGTTATGTTAAAAGAAAAAAAAGAAAAACAGTTAAAACCAATTTGTAACAGTATTAAACTATTTTTTTAAAAAAAATGTCTCTTGGTTAATTGACTTTTGGACTGCTCTGTATTATTGAACAAACAACATTTGAAAAATTATTATTATAGTACTTTTAGATGCTCTGCTTCATCACATGAAACAGAGCAAAAAATGCAAAATATTGTGCAAAAAAATGCATCTAAAAACGCAAAATATATTTTTATATACGTTTTAATCATATATTTTCAGTTTATAGATAGATGCTATTTTTTAGGAAATACAGTATATATTTGAAATGTATTTAAGATTCAAAATTTACGCTTTATTGATGTTTTATTTGATATTTTTAATTAAAAAAAATAATTTCAGTTATGTTTTCACTGCATATACATTATATATAAAGTACAAATTTTGCCTTTTTCAATGAAAAAGATCATCTAAAATACGCACGAAACATTTAAGATGATTTTATATATATACATATATATATATATTAAAAACATCAAATATAACACGAAGAAAACAAAATATATTGATTTTAAATACAATATTTTAAATATATACTTAAAAAATAGTATCTAAAAATGCAAAAAATATATATTTTTTAGAAGCTGTCATTCATTTAATGAAGTTAATAAAGCGTGTGAAAAAGCAAAAATAATTTTCCTATAGTAAACTGTTGCCAAATTTATTTGTTGAATTTTTTCTTAATTTTTTATGGTAAGACTATCAATTTAAAGTGTGTAATTTTTCAAAGTAGCAAAGTTCTTTGTCTGAATGACCTCTTGAGGAATATCGAATTTATTTGAAGTCATTACAAAAGTCAATACGCGTTTATCATTGTAACTATACTTTACATTTTTTAGATCCCAAAGCGTAATCCTGGCATTTGTATAATCGATGGTTAGTAAACTATATTCTACTCTATAATTTTAACTTTAAATCACGAATTATCGATAAATATTCTAAAAGTTTTTTTTATATATCCATTCTTTCTTTCCAGCAAAATTTAGACTAAAATAGCGCCGAATAAAAGTATTTTTTTAAAAATGAAAAATAGTTTAATCAAAATTAAAGTTTATTTATCGTAATTTTACTTTTTTTAATGTTCCAGATCGCGTTAATTAAATGGCAACATCTAAGAAAACGAGACATATGCACTTGAAACGTATTTAAAACATAGAATTTTTGCATTTTTAGATGCTCTTTTTCAAGATATATTTATTTGGCATATTTTTAAGTAAATATATCTTACTTTATGATGTTCCACTTCATCTTTTTAATAAAAAAGAGCGTCTGAAAAGTGAGATAAGTGTACTTAAAAGATAAATTTTTGTAAATCTCTTGCTTTTTTCTTGAAGCAAGAAAGTATATCGTTCTACAAACAATTTTTATCAATAAAATCCATCTTAAACTCTTTATTAATTAGTACTTTTAGAACCATATTTAAATATTAAATTTTATGTAACCAGTTTTATTTTGCTTAATAGTAAACTACGGTATGTAGGTTAATTAATAATTATAATGTTATACACATACATAATGTTATAATGTTTAATGGTAAATTATGGTAAGTTAGCAACTTAATAATTCGATAAATTAACAGTTTTATGATCATTTTAATAATAAATTATTATAATTTGATAAATGGGGATGTTATAATTGCTATGATAAGTTCTCTATATAACGGAAACACTATAGAGGGCGATTACATTAAACTCTATAATTATGCCCGTATGACTCGTATTATTTTAGTATATTTATTTAAATTCGAAACAGGATAGTGCATTTTTATAAAATAATAAATAATTATATATATTTTTGTGTAATTTTATGTCATTTTTTGAATTTTTCCAGGCGTTTCGGTACAAAATGCGCAGGTTGCGATCAAGGTATACCACCGACACAAGTAGTGAGAAGGGCACAAGATAACGTATATCATTTACATTGTTTCGCTTGCATTTTATGCAAACGACAACTGAATACGGGAGACGAATTTTATTTGATGGAAGATAATAAACTCGTCTGCAAAACTGACTACGAAGCTGCCAAAGCACGCGGTAATAAAAAATCTTCTTTGTTTAATGTTTATATATAAAAATATAAGAATAGATTTCGTATTTATAAAAGGACTTTTTANCCTTTTTTTTCCGGACTACCTTCATCCCCAATTAGTCCGGATAATCGAGATTCTACTGTATTATTATTATGGGCTTATACAGCCTCCTGTATGTTATAGCTTACAGCCATGAATCTGGTTAACTTCCTACTCTTAATATATAAAATTTAGTCCTCAAGATTACGTATCTTTTATATAATATATATACTATATCAGAATTATTATTCTTATATGCTTTGTTTTTAATATATAGACTATATTTTAGTCTTTAGTTCTTATATCTTAGTCCTTAATCTATATATTTTATCTTTTGAGTGTTCGATCCTTTATCTTTTATGGATGTTTACCTCTTTCATAGTATTTACTATTTTTAGGAGTGTTCAAAAGAAAATGACTTTTTAAAGAAAAATCGAAATCACATCCTTTGTTTCAGGAAGCTTCGGTTTTCACACCAAAAACATTTTTCTATCTGAACCTTTGTCTTATATTTATTCTTAGACTTGTTGCTTTTTTCATAAAAATTAATTCATTACTTGTGAAATAATGATTAACTCAATCCATTTACAAGCCATTAAGCTATTAACATTAATTACAATACGATAATTTCCCTTCAGAATCAGATCCATTTAACCTGTAATGGATCAAATGATGACCCCAATTAAGGCTACTAACACTTCAAGAGAGGCCCGGGCCACTTATTTTTTTGGCATCCCAACTAATATAGGCTATTAAAAAACTACGTTAAAAAATTCTATTGTACTTTTGAAATAATATAATTCGATAATTTGCGAGAGGCTTTCTATGTAGGTCTCTCATAAATTATTCATGGGGTGTTTTGAGACCCTCCTATGTAAGACTCTGGCTACATTTGACGCCAAGCTCTATTATAGTGATCCTGCTGGTCCCTCTATGATAGAACTTAGCATTAATTAAAAAATTGATTACACGAAAACTTTAAGAAAAAAATGCCTTTTATCGATATAAAACTCTTGTAAAAACGAAATTTTAAAATTACATATAAATTATTATAACTAAAAATTCATTTAGTTGGTGATAATTACATGTTTTCGAGGGTGATTATGGTTCTTTAAACAATTTAAATTTATGAAGTAGAAGCATTAAGTAAAAGACATGACGAGTCATTTTACGATATTTGAAAGCTGTTTTAAATCTAGTTTAATGAATAATTTAGATTTATTATTAAAAACATTTCTTTTTACAGCTACCATACCGAAATGCGCTGGATGCGAACAGCCCATTATGGACAGGTTCATCTTGAAGGTTCTGGATCGATCTTGGCATGCTAAATGTCTCAAGTGCATCGATTGTCAAGCTCAACTGAATGATAAGTGCTTTGCTAGGAACGGCCAAGTTTTCTGTAAAGAAGATTTTTTCAAGTGAGTTTTCTCGTATTATTTTCAACTTTTTGAATTTTCGATAGAAAATTATATAAAATTAACGAACAAACAAAAATATTATTTCAATTTCGTTGTATGTTTAATTTTTTTAAATTTGTAACGGAATAATTTTTCCGTATCTCAATTTATAAAACACTCTTAGACAGTATTTGAAAATAGTTAACTTTCTTGCCACTAGATGGAGCGAGTACGAATTTTTGATACTTTTTGAATTTTATATATTTTTTTCATATAAATGATTTTAAAAATCCATCCTGTNGAACTCGGCTTAAATATTATATAAAGGTAAACTCATATTATTTTCGTAAGTTTTTTTACTATAATAAAAAATTAATTCCCTTTTGCAGATAAATAAATAAATGAAAATTTTATGATTTTGGATTCTTATATCTCTATCTCTATCTAAATTCACTTATTTATTCAATATACGAAACATATTTATCAATAGTTGAAATATCCCGTGAAATATTTAATAAACATCATACCAATGAATACGAAATGGCATATAAAACAATAGAAAAATAAAAAAATAATAATTTTTATATTTTTAATTAATTTTGTGAATTTTAATCTTACTTTCATTATATTTTACACAATTAAACGATTTATATGACATACAAATATAATAATTATTTAATTTATATATGTATAGTCTACGGTATGTGTATGACACATTAATTTTTTAAGTTTTTAACATGAAGACAATTTAATTTTCTAATTTGAGTACATTTAAAATATTCTGCAATATTAAAAATTTTAAATACATATAATAATGTATGTACTTTTATAAACGGATATTTTAAAAATTGCATCAAACTGTATTCAAGCCGTTACAACAAAAAATGAATAAAACTTATTATTTATTTTAAAAATATTTTAATATTGTTTAAATAGATTAAACATTATATAGATATACAATGCAGCCAAAAGTCAGTTAACGAATGTAAAAATTCGGTTTTAGTCAAACTAGATAAAAATTGTTTAAAAATGTTAAAAATTCGCAAATTGCCCAATTGCTTGCGAACAATATAGTTAACTTATTTATGGGCTATCTTGTACAATTGAAAAGTTGTAATTTTATATACAATATTTCGTAAATAGGCGTGAAATCAGTATTTGGCATTTATCTCTTCAGTCAAAGCAAATACTGTATTAATAACATTTAAAAAGTAATAATTATACCTTGTATATTTTCATTTATATTTAGACAAATATAAAAACTTAATGAAAATGATATTGAAAAACAACTTTACTTTCACTCTCTTTATAAAAATGACAAAATTAAAAATTATTAAAAGTAAAAAGAAAATAAAATATATAGGCCTAAATCTAATATTTTTTTTTCCGCTAAAAACTTTTAAAAATGGAAAAATTATGAAAAAGAATTAAAATTTAAAACTTTGTCTAATTAAATTTCTATTTAATTATAATTGACCGGACTGAAAAATGATTAACTCATTATTCATTAAATAATAATTGCAGTAAATAGAGTTTATATAAGTGAAGAGATAGCAAACTCACATGGCCCAAATATCATTCTCTTATTTAAATATTTTATTACTTCAAATTTTGAAAAAGTATATCGTTCTATTCATTATGTTTAATACAAAAGATTTATAAAATAAATTTATAATCAATTTAAAATACTAATAAATTCTTGACAATATTATTTAATAAAAATATAAAATTTGTAAAAGTAACAACCCTTCGATATCTTTGAAAATTTTTCATCTGAAAGTATAATTCTATGATATATAGGCTAATTTTTATGGTTAAATAATAAATATTGAATAGTGAATATAAAAAAATTTATATAAAAAGTAATTTATGAATATAATCAATTATTATAGGAAGCTTTTATTTTTATACAAAGTTTGATTATTTACGATTATTCGAAATCTTTACTTAGAGACACGCTTTAAAAAATGCCAATGCCTGTGACATTTTTCTAATGCCAAATGCAAATACCAAGACTCATTAGAAAATATATTATTTTTATATGGCTTTTAAGATAATCCTAGTGAAAATAAAAATAGATTTTTAGCGGTAAATTTACAGGTAAAACTACTGTAAATTCTTAGCAATAACTTAGTTAAATTGTCAATAAGAATATACTTTCACGTAGATACTGTATATTTTTATTCGTAATATTAAAATTTTATTGGAAAAAATCTTTAAATGTAGGACAAATTATTAAAGAATTAAAGATAAATTGAAATATTTTTAGTTTCTAGGTAAAGTTATTTCTATTCAAGTTTAGTCAATTCGCGTAACATTGTCTGAGGAAAGAATAGAATTTTATTGATTCGATTCAAAAAATTTCATCAATAACTATTGGAAAAGTAAAAAATGTAATAAGAATATGTATAAGCTTACTAAAAACGGATAAAATTTCATCATTTTAATGTGTATTTTATAAGTTATTCACTGATGAAAGTGGCGTTATTTTAGGTATGATCGATGTAACTCAAGCATTAGAAAAAGAATTATTTAAATTATAATTATTTTAGTTTTTTAATTATTAAATATTTTAAAAAAAGAATTAAAATGCGTAATTATATTTAAGTTTATTTCAATTGATAAAATTAAATGGATGATACTTCATCTTATTCCCATTAATATTTATTTTATTCCTATTTTAAGTGAATTGAATATTGTGAGAAATAGTTACAAATTTTACAAAATGTAAATACTAATAAATGAAAAATAAATTTATATTTGCTATAATTTGATAAAAATTACTAGATTTTCAGGTTAAAGAATGGATATTTATGTTATGAAGTAGTTATTTATGCATTAAAGATTATGAAGTGCTTTATAATTTTTTCCTTTATGCATTGTTCTTCACAGCTTTTCTCGTTATGCATTACTCTCCAAACTCTCTTTTTACATTACTCTTTATAGAAAAAAAATTGTAAAAACCTTATAAAAATGATTAATAAACAATTTAATATTAGAAAAGTGTTAGGCCTACTAAAATTATAATACATATAATGCACTATAAATTATATTCAATAACACATTTGATACACTACATTACTAGTTTCAACACGTCATAAAGTGCTTTTTCGTTTATTATATTACACTATAAGATAATTTTGTTAAGAATGTACTGTACAGTACAATAAAGAGATTGTAATTATTCTAAATTCTTGATGATTTATAAATTTTTATTATAAAGTTTAAAAGATGATGAATCAATCATAAATTCACGGACTTTGTATGAATTTATACAAGGTAATGATGTAGAATTTTATTCTAAATCACAAGAAAATAACTTCTTATCAGAAATGTATATTAAATTAAATTAAAATTTTGGATTTTTTCTTCTTTAACACAGTTTTCCCCGATATTTCAGTTGCTGTCCTTCGATTCTCCTTCACATCTGACTGTAACTAGCTCCTTCAACCGATTCTACTTTCATATTGACCAGTCGATTTCATTTTCTTCTTCCTCCATTCCTAAAACCAATCTTTTTCTCTCTGGATTTTAAAAATATTCTAATCCATAGAATTTCGTACAAAAATACTAAAATTTTACTCGAGAAAAATTATATATATTTTTAGATGATCAACTGAAATAAAAATTCTTTTCATTTTTCTTTAATTTTTATTGGAAAATAAAAGTTGTAAAAATATTTTTGTAAATTAAATAAGTGTATTATTATTTTATTTGTGTTATTTTGGAAAGTTTTTAAGAAACAGAATTAAAATGAAGTACTTTTAATCTCTTCTTTTAGTTAAACAAACAGCGAAAGCAAAATCAAAGAAACCGTAAAAATATATTTTTTTTTAAATCTTAAAATATTCTAGAAAATTATAAATAAATTATATATGCCTTAATACATATAATTATCTTAAATTTTTCTCTATTTTATGTAATTAAAAATATATGAAAAGCAGTTCAAAAGTCAGTTAACTGATATATAAGTGTATGAGCTATATGCGTTATGTTAAAAGAAAAAAAAGAAAAACAGTTAAAACCAATTTGTAACAGTATTAAACTATTTTTTTAAAAAAAATGTCTCTTGGTTAATTGACTTTTGGACTGCTCTGTATTATTGAACAAACAACATTTGAAAAATTATTATTATAGTACTTTTAGATGCTCTGCTTCATCACATGAAACAGAGCAAAAAATGCAAAATATTGTGCAAAAAAATGCATCTAAAAACGCAAAATATATTTTTATATACGTTTTAATCATATATTTTCAGTTTATAGATAGATGCTATTTTTTAGGAAATACAGTATATATTTGAAATGTATTTAAGATTCAAAATTTACGCTTTATTGATGTTTTATTTGATATTTTTAATTAAAAAAAATAATTTCAGTTATGTTTTCACTGCATATACATTATATATAAAGTACAAATTTTGCCTTTTTCAATGAAAAAGATCATCTAAAATACGCACGAAACATTTAAGATGATTTTATATATATACATATATATATATATTAAAAACATCAAATATAACACGAAGAAAACAAAATATATTGATTTTAAATACAATATTTTAAATATATACTTAAAAAATAGTATCTAAAAATGCAAAAAATATATATTTTTTAGAAGCTGTCATTCATTTAATGAAGTTAATAAAGCGTGTGAAAAAGCAAAAATAATTTTCCTATAGTAAACTGTTGCCAAATTTATTTGTTGAATTTTTTCTTAATTTTTTATGGTAAGACTATCAATTTAAAGTGTGTAATTTTTCAAAGTAGCAAAGTTCTTTGTCTGAATGACCTCTTGAGGAATATCGAATTTATTTGAAGTCATTACAAAAGTCAATACGCGTTTATCATTGTAACTATACTTTACATTTTTTAGATCCCAAAGCGTAATCCTGGCATTTGTATAATCGATGGTTAGTAAACTATATTCTACTCTATAATTTTAACTTTAAATCACGAATTATCGATAAATATTCTAAAAGTTTTTTTTATATATCCATTCTTTCTTTCCAGCAAAATTTAGACTAAAATAGCGCCGAATAAAAGTATTTTTTTAAAAATGAAAAATAGTTTAATCAAAATTAAAGTTTATTTATCGTAATTTTACTTTTTTTAATGTTCCAGATCGCGTTAATTAAATGGCAACATCTAAGAAAACGAGACATATGCACTTGAAACGTATTTAAAACATAGAATTTTTGCATTTTTAGATGCTCTTTTTCAAGATATATTTATTTGGCATATTTTTAAGTAAATATATCTTACTTTATGATGTTCCACTTCATCTTTTTAATAAAAAAGAGCGTCTGAAAAGTGAGATAAGTGTACTTAAAAGATAAATTTTTGTAAATCTCTTGCTTTTTTCTTGAAGCAAGAAAGTATATCGTTCTACAAACAATTTTTATCAATAAAATCCATCTTAAACTCTTTATTAATTAGTACTTTTAGAACCATATTTAAATATTAAATTTTATGTAACCAGTTTTATTTTGCTTAATAGTAAACTACGGTATGTAGGTTAATTAATAATTATAATGTTATACACATACATAATGTTATAATGTTTAATGGTAAATTATGGTAAGTTAGCAACTTAATAATTCGATAAATTAACAGTTTTATGATCATTTTAATAATAAATTATTATAATTTGATAAATGGGGATGTTATAATTGCTATGATAAGTTCTCTATATAACGGAAACACTATAGAGGGCGATTACATTAAACTCTATAATTATGCCCGTATGACTCGTATTATTTTAGTATATTTATTTAAATTCGAAACAGGATAGTGCATTTTTATAAAATAATAAATAATTATATATATTTTTGTGTAATTTTATGTCATTTTTTGAATTTTTCCAGGCGTTTCGGTACAAAATGCGCAGGTTGCGATCAAGGTATACCACCGACACAAGTAGTGAGAAGGGCACAAGATAACGTATATCATTTACATTGTTTCGCTTGCATTTTATGCAAACGACAACTGAATACGGGAGACGAATTTTATTTGATGGAAGATAATAAACTCGTCTGCAAAACTGACTACGAAGCTGCCAAAGCACGCGGTAATAAAAAATCTTCTTTGTTTAATGTTTATATATAAAAATATAAGAATAGATTTCGTATTTATAAAAGGACTTTTTACATAAAAAATAAAATATATAAGGAAAAATAAAGTTATAAAATAAATTCGAAAATATCTCTCGTGTAATTCTACGTATCTTTTGATAAATCTATATTATAAGATTTTTTTATATTATAATTTATAATTTTTTAAAATAGTTTCAAGCTTTAATTTTTATAAAAATCAAGAATTAAATTTTAAAAGTCTCAGCAAAAATGCCAAAAAAAAAGTATAAAAAATTTACGACACGATTATATTTTGGTGATGAAAGTTTTGATATTCTTAATTTAATTACGCTGTTAAAACTCAAAAATCTAAAAAATATATAATTTTTTATCATCGATTTTGGATTAGAGTTTGATATTTAGAAGTCTTTAAAATACTTTTTAGATTTTTAAAATTGTATTTAATTAAATATTTATACGAAACAAAATAACTATATACAAAGAAAGCATCCTCTTGAATACTTCTTTGATAAATTAATGCTATTTTTGACATTATAATTTACAAATTTTAAACATAAATTTCCATAAAAAATCAAGAATTAAATTATAAAAAAAAATCTAAAAAATTGCAATATAATAAAAAAGTTAAACTTAAATTTAAGTAAAAATATATAATTCTAAATTGTAAAACTCTAAAAATATATGTTTTTTAGATTATTAAAATATTATTTAATTAAATATTTTATACGAGATACAGTACAATAACGCCGCGAAATAAACACATTCAAAGAAAACACCCTCTCGAACATTTCAAGGTTTTCTTTGATAGATTAATGATATAAATTAATTTTTTTTAAATTATAAAATGAATTTTAACATTTCTAAACTTAAATTTTCATAAAAATTAAGAATTAAGTTTCATAAAAATAAAAAACCTCCCAAAATATTGCGACATAAAAAGAAAATTTCGAGTGATGAAGGTGTTGATATACTTAATTCAATTACGATGTTACAACCTGTCAAAAATTTTTTGTTTACTTATTAAATTTAAAAAAAAATAAATTTGTAGTTTCCTAATAAAAAAAACCTTTCAAGAAAACGTTATTTAAGGAACGTTTCTTCTAATTAAAAACGTTTACTAATTAAATATCTATTGAATATATTTAAAAATAAACAAATAATTTAAGTAAAATAATAATTTTAAAAATATTTTAATATTAGTTTATTTTTATTGTTTAATTATTTGAATTTTGGGGTAGTTAAATTTAAGTTTATTTCTGTCGATTTTTTTATATACAAAACTTCCTTATCAATTACAATACTCCTTAAGGCAAAGCTCTCAAATATAATTGGATGTAAGAATTATTAACATAAAAAAATAATAAAATAATTAAATTTATATTATTAAGCAGTTACATTAGTTATAAATTGCATGCTATAATTAATAGCACCGAAATTATGGTAAAGCTTTAATTAAATCTGTTCGAATTTCTTATGTAAAAATGGCATAAAATGAAGATAAAGATGATAATATTTTACATATTTATAGAAGTTAATACTTATTTTTGGATTTTATGCTAATATTTTGAAGCTAATAATGCTATTTTTTTATATTTTTTGCGAATATTTTGGTCCTAAATGACTCTTTTTATTGGTCTTTTATGCCAGTATTTCGATTTTAAAAATAATTTTTTTGGATCTGATGCTAGCATTTTATGCTTTTATGCACATATTTGGATACTTATCATGTTTTTAGATTTTTTAAATAATACTCGGATGTTAATGCTAATTTTTTACAGCTTATATTATTAGTATTTTTATACTAATAATATGATTTTTTTGATTTTTTGCTTCGAATATTCAGACATTAATAATGTTTATATATATTTTTATGCAAGAAATTGGATGCTAATAGGTTTTTTGGCTTCTTATATAAGCAATTGTATGTTAATAATTCTTTTTATAGATTTTATGCGAGTATTTTGATGCTGATTATGTGTTTTATTCGATATTCAGGGATAAATTTGATATTAATAAATTTTAAATAAGTATTTAGATGTCAATTATATATTTTAAAATTTTATGCGTTTATTTACAAGCTTATTATGCTTTGTTTTAGATATTATGGAGGTAATTGTATATGTAAAATATATTATATTCATGGCTATACTTTTATAGTGTGATGATAACAGTGATATAGTAGGAGCTTTTTCTTTTTGGCCGTTTTTTTCAGAGCAGAGGGGACAACGAAACGTCCAAGGACCACTATAACTGCAAAACAGTTGGAAACGTTGAAAACAGCATACAACAATAGCCCGAAACCAGCTCGACACGTAAGAGAACAATTGAGCCAAGATACGGGACTCGATATGAGAGTGGTACAAGTGTGGTTTCAAAATAGAAGAGCAAAAGAGAAAAGGTTGAAAAAAGATGCAGGAAAGACAAGATGGAGTGAATATTTCAGAAATGCCACGGGAAATGTTAAACATAGTTCCACATCATCCACACCTGTTCAAGCGGGAGCGCAACCTAATTCACCTGAGGATCATCGAGAAAGGAATGGAGAAAAAAGGAGTTCCAAGCACGATTTAGATAGAGATAAGGATTCTGTTTATTCAGGTAGGTCAAAGTTCATTCGCTATACTCTACCCAAACATATTTTATTAATATTTTACAACGCTCACATAATATTAACGTGAATACTGCTCTACATCTTCCACTTCATCTTCGTCTCTTTTACTGTTTAATTTATTAAATTAATAAAAATATTTTAAAAAATTAATTGCTAAGTAATTAAATAAATTTTTTGTCTGTTTTTATAAAAGTGTGAACTTCATTGAGGACCAAAATTTTAATTTTTAGAAAGGAATTTTGGTCCAAACTAAGAAACAAAATCGATACGTTTTCTTTTATAAGAATTTTAATCTGAATTTTTGTATAAAACTTACATTTAAATATTCAAACCATATACTTATTTATGTTTTTTAAGTGTTAAATTTACAGAAGATCAAACTGATAATATTTTAGAAGAAAATTTTGATCTAAATAATACTTTAACATATACAATACCACAATTCTATCTGCAAGCTAAGCGTTATAACGCGACTTTTCATACAATAAACTGACGTTGTAAACGAAAAAATAATACTAATTCTCATAAATAATTTAAAAACTACAAAATTTAATCATTTGTGATTAAAAGGGTCCCTTTATCTGACGTCACTTTCAAGCATTTGCCATCTGTTAGAGCAAATTCCCTGTATCAATCATGCAAAAGTATCGATTAGTAGCCTATAGACATACAAGAAGTAGATTTTAAACAAATTAGATCTAATTCCAAGTTTTGCATCCGATTTATAAAGCAATTATTGAATCACGACATACATGGAAAGTGATACATTATCGTTAATGGTATGGTATACCTTTAAATGCACTTTTTTTAATATCACTCGAGAGATATTTTTGTAAATACGATCTACTGACCAAAATTATCTGTTTATTGCTGGGGAATTGTCTATGATATCGCTTTACTGCTTGAAACTACATCCTTTATCGTCTTAACGTTAATGGAAACACTTCCTCCTCTTCCACCATTTTAACATTATTGCTAGAAAGGATCGCTTTATCGCCTTCCAAGACATGTTCTTGATGTAAAAAACCTAAAGAAATCAATAAGAATTGCATACAATTTAATGATTATAAGGGCGAGATGTTGCAGTAAATAGTATATTCCTATTATATTCAATTATAACCTTAATAGTTAACTATTAAGGTTATAATTGTTGTTTTTCAAACTTTTAAGAATAAAAATGGATAGTTTAGTAATTCACGGCTTAATTTTCGTTTTAATGTGACGCTTGTAGCACCACAAAATGCTATTTTAGTATGGAATCACTTTATTTTTAATTTTTAAGCACATATTCAGTTGCTGAAAGCATTATATCAACTAGAAAAGGACATACTGGTTAATAAACTCCTTATATTAGTTATTAGAACCTTATGCTCCTCTCTAAAGGCACTTAAGTTAGTTCATAAATGCATTGTTTTACGTATTAAAAGCCTTATATTACTTTTGAAGGCATTACTTTATCCATCAAATAATATTATATCTAAAGATATATTATTTATATTAATTAAAGATCTTATATTAGTTCTTAAAGATAATTACAAAGATTATTAACAGTATTAATAGCCTTATATCAGTAATTAAAAGCACTTTACTACTTAACAAAACCTTTCTATTAGTCACTAGAGATCTAAACAAATAAAGGAGATAAAGCATAATTGCGAAATAAAAAATATACTTAATATTTTTTAAGCAAGGCCTTTCAGAAACCGAGAGAGGCCGGCCACTTCTAAGAGACCCCACCATAAAACAAACCAGCTTTAAAAATGTTGCATCATAATAAATTAAATAATTTATGTTATTGAGGCCCTTTTATATTCGAGTTCTTAATCAAATAAGTCTAATGGTGCTCTGTGATAAAGTCTGAGCTTAGGTCAATAATGCGTTACCTCTGAGATTTCATGGTGCTTTGTATTAGAGATTTTCCAAGAAGAATTGTATCAATTCTTCGTTACATTTTGACATTTAGACGTCTAAATTCGTTAGCAATACATTTCACTGTAAGAATAGTTACATTGAAAAAAGTATTAAGTATCAATTTAATAGTGTATTAACGCTTAGAGATTTCTTAATACTGTAAGAAATTCAATAAGGTGAAAACTTACAACAAATGTTTTAAGATCCCCCGTAAACATCGTCTATCGCCTCTATGATAGAGGCTTATTTCAGTAGTGTGTTAACGCTGAAATATTTCATTGTATACTGTATTGTGTTAAAGAATTTCAAAACAGAATTGTAACAATTCTATGTTATATTTTGACACTTAATAAACCTTACTTTTAAAGCCTTGAGGTTTTGTTAGATATAAGATAAACATAAGAGCTTCGAGATTTTGCATTGATTCTTATTAGAGAATGTCAAAGCAGGATTGTAGCAATTCTTCCTTGCATTTTAACATTTAGATACTTAAATTCGTTAGTAATATATTTCACTTTTAAAGCGTTACGGCTTTCTTAGATATAAAACACACATGAAAATAGTAACGCTACATTAAACTTAGGTTAATATTGCGTTAAGGCGTCAAGATTTTATATTGATTTGTATTAGATTTTAAGAAGAATTACATCGATTATTCTCATATTTTGACTTTCATCCACTTAAATTCCTTACTAACAAGCCTTATTTTCAGAAGCGTTACGGCTTTAATGGGCATAAGATATATAGAAGAATGCGTAAAACATTAAGGTATCACTTTAATAGAGCGTTAACGCTTGGAGATTTCGTATTAGTTTTATTACAACTAAGGGAATTTAAAAGCCGCAAGATGACATTGTCTAAACATGTGATCATCATTACAGTAAATGCCGCACCACGTCATTAGATTTAATACAAAGGCGTCATTAGCGTAACGTTAACGCTTTAAGTCGGGGGTGGCTTATGGCCGCGCCCGCCAATGCAGATGTAGTGTAATCAGTGTGTTGCAATAAGGCCGTACCAACCGTTATAGGTACCACAGTCATTTTATTTGTAATTATTATGTTTCACTGCTGGAACTTTATTGGTTCGATGCGTAATAAGGTTTGCGTGTAAGATAAGAAAATCGAATATTTCATTTAGTTTAAACGATAGTAATCACCGGATTCTACCGGAAAAAAATAATAATAATTGATGTAAATAGGTAAGCCAGATTACTGACGTTCGACTTTAAAATTTCACTTTTAATGCTCCTAAACATGTAAAGAAAGTATTATTTAAAGAGGGAGAAAATCGATAGAATTTCGTAATTTAAAAGTTTAGTTGTCAACAGTTTAAAAATTAAATTGAAACGTGCTTAACCGAAATCTTGAAATCGATTTAAGATTCTGTTAATGCAAATTTCAAAGCATTCTTCAGCCTTTTTCATTTGAAATTTCACTCTTGATATTAAAAAACTTTTAAAAATTTAGATTCCAAGTTTAGAATTTCACGTAAAATTATGAGTTTTGTATAATTTTATAACGTTAGGATCCATTAAACTTGAACTACAGTTAAGAAACTTCCACATTAGAGATTCCGTTGATGCAAATTTTAAGCCTTGTCTTAGATGTTCGAGTTTTAGAGTAAAAAATAAAAAACATTAACTTTAGAATCTCACACGAAATTATGAGTTTTACATAAGTTTATGAAGATAGAATCCAAAAAAAAAAATTGAAGCCTTTGTTTTTTAGTGTTGTTTATTTCACATTCGCAACTTTCAGATTAAAAAAAATTTTAATATTTAGATTCTAACTTTAAAATTTCATTTAAAATCGCGAGTTTGGAAAATTTAATGACGCTAGAATCCCGAAAAATTGATCTGTGATTCGGAATTTAATACGAAATTAATTCGTTTTCCGAACTCTAATTTCATCACATTATGCAAAACTCATAATTTTGTGTGATGTTCTAAAGTTAGAATCCAATTTTTTTGAAGTTTTTTGAACTTTTAATATTGTTTTATCTAAAAACACGGAAATATGAGATAAATAAAGCTTTAAATTTACCTCATCAAAACCTTAGACTCGCAACAAAGTCAACTGAGTACCAAGATGAAGTCCTAATTTCTTTATTTCTTCTTCTTCTTCTTCTTCTTACTGTTTCATATGGAGATTATAGATTTCTTTACTTGTTTAATGTATTTTACTTTAAATCCGTATCTTTCTTTTACAGAAAATAAAAGGGGAAAAAACAATTCTGCAACTTTGAAAGATTTTTATCAAATAAAAAAATAACTGAAAATAAAATATTTTTCAAAACAAAGAAATTTTGAAAATTAGTAATTTGAGCGATAAACAGCGGTACATTCGGTGTATTCTCGTATCAATGTTTAAACGAGAAACAGGAGTGTTATTTGATATATTTGCTTTTATTTCTACGTTTAGAATTTCGAAAACAAGATAAGATATTCGAAATAAATATCTAGAAGTTATCAATTTTATAAGAAAAAGTCATTTTTAAGGAAAGAAAACTCTAGTTTATCAAATTCGTTTATTGAGGTACGTGGTACGGTGATATTATTTAAAGCTTACTTCTTGTTACGAATCACATTTCTCAATCTGATAATGCGAGATTACATTCATATCTTCTACTCTACATAAATTACAAGAATTATTTGATTACTTTTGAATGTAAGCACTCGGAAACAAATTCGAATGTAGTAAATTGTGCTTAAAACAATATTTTTACTATATAAATTAGATATATGACAGCTTTTTACAAAGCAATAAACAATATCATTTTTGTATTTTCTTTCTGTTTCCTGTTTTACAGACGATGTACCCGAAATTCGGCAATTTGTGCCAAGATTATCTTCAGGAATGATGGATGAGGACGGGCATCCCCAAGGTCCACCATTACCTCACGGACCGAATGGACTCAGCTACATCAGCGGACCTCATCCCTATCCCGGTCCAGGTACGCCACCCTACCTCAGTGGAAACCACAGTCCAGGGAGTCAATATCCAGGAACCTTCTACGGAGAAGGATTAGGTGGGCATTATATGGCGGCTTCGACACCGATTTCTGATCAAAACGGGCACATCTCCACCCTTTCTAATCGACTTATCGTCCCTACACCCACAGATCTCAGTAACAGCAGTAGCAATCATGGATATCCGGACTTTCCTCCTAGTCCTGCATCATGGCTTGAAGAAGTTGATGCACCAGCATCTTCGATAACTCCATCCCACGCTGCGCCTCCTTCAGCAGCTCAGTACTGATGTGTATGACCCCCTCTTTGACAAATATGTTGATATGACTTTTAGACGCGATGCTGTCAGTCACCATACTGTTTGTTTGTCTGTCCCTCTTCTCGTGGAAGAAATAATTTTTTCAATTGTGGAGAAGTGGGTTTTCCAGTTCCTGAATTATAACGAATGTAGTACGTGTGATAAGCACAATAAACTAGTCATATGTGATAAAAAAAAGAGTATATGAAGGAGTTTTTATTAAAAATAATATTTGAAAATAGTCTTTTAAAAAGTTTCTTGTTCAGTTTCAACAGTCGAAAAATTACCAGTTTTTTCAGAAAATTTTAATTAAAATTATTTTAAAATTTTAAAAATAAACATATTTTTCTTCATTTTAATAAATTGTTTGTTTAAAACGCAAAAATTACAATTATTATTTATCAAAAAATTCTGAATGAATATCGATTTTACGCTCATCCACGACGTCACTTCATTCAAATTTTATGATGTTTCGGTTATAAGAATGACGTCATATATGTATAACCAATTAAATACTTTTCGTGAATGTAAATTAAACGAATGATTAGTCACCGCTATAAATAATGCCGTAATATCGTTTTAAATAAAAAAATTAATTTTAATATTAATTGTTATCGGTAAAAATTCCTTATAAATAAAATAAAAAAATAATAATAGTTTGAAATATAATATTATTTTAACTAAATTTAGCATTCACACGCACGAACAAAGAAAAAAATTTAATTTAATTTGATTATTTCATCTGGCAACTATTACACGCACGCCACCCGTGGCGCCATCTGTTATACAAATAAATAATTAAATCACGCGTATTTAAAAAAAAATAGAAATAAATGAAACAAAATTACTTTAGATTGGGATTAACTAAGAAATTCTGTTTTACTTAGAAAGATTTTATAAAAAGAGACTTTATCTGATTACAGATTTGGAAAAAACTTAATACTCAAACAATAAATTAGTTTGGTTTGTGTTTTTTTATTTTACATTCTGAAAATCTGTGTTAATCTTTTTTTAAACATTTTTTTAGTCTCAGGACGTCTTCTTCTTTTGATTTTTTTCATAGAAATTTGAAAGAATTCTGTATTATAGAAATCACTAAATTAATTTGATGAAAATCATTTCCCTGCTAACTTTTTACTTTACGTTTTCTCCATCTTTAATCTAGATTTAAAATATTTTTGGAATNCCAGTCGGCAAATTTAAATTTTCGCCAGTGCTGTGGCGCTGCAATCTTTGGCTATGTCTTGGGCTACTCAAATATTTTACGTTTTTGATACTAAATTAACTTCTAAAGTATAATTTTTTATTGTTTTTATATTTTTCAATATATTTATTTTGTTCGTACAAAATAAAAAAATAATTTTTAACGATACAATAGGCTTCGTTAGGCTTAACATCGACGAAAATTCAACACGAAGCGACACGCAACGGTGAAAATTGTCAAAATGGGATAAATTAATATATTTTTTCGGACATATTCGGTTATCCGAAATATCGATCTTCCGAACAACCCCAGTCCCCAATTGATTCGGATAATCGACGCTCTACTGTACTACTATATAAATCTTTTATATTAGTAATGTTTAATCTGAAATGGCCGCGGCCGTGAATTTTATCATAATATTTGGTTATGTGGAATTCATCGGTCCACATTACTCAGATAGTTGGGGTCGACTCTAATTTTTAAAACTTTTTTTTTACCCTAAGAGATCATAATGGAAGCAGCTGGCGATAAAGCAACAGTCCGCGCATATTGTATTTAGGCAAATGTATCATAAAAGTTTTGAGCCGAACAGAATTGAAATAATCTGTAAATGTGGATTCATTTAACCATATAATGCAATATGTCTGCAATTAAAAGAGAAAGCAAACGTCATGCCAGACATTTATCTAACTCTGTCCTGGAGAAAATTTTTGAATTGAAATAACGTGATTTCCGGTTCAAATCGTATATGGTTAGTCGGGGCCTTCGGTTCCTAAGCTTTCCATATTTGTTCTCGACTTTCATCTAACTCAGTTCTTGAGATTAAGGGCAGACAAACAACAGACAGATGGCAGTGGGAATTTATGTCTACAATTTTAAAATTGCAGTCGAAAAAGTACAATATACATAATTTTTAAGTAAAAGTTTGTTAAAATTGATATATTAATACATTATAATCTCAATTGTTTATCAATCAAAATCAATTAAAATTTATTATTCAATTAATGTGAGGGACTAGTACTTTGTATGACCACAGTTATTATGAACGGGTCCCATCATGAATGAGACCCGCTCGTAATCCACAACAGCATGAATGAAGGACGCCTCAATTCGTACTGTACATGATACCATCAAAAATTTGGCAAGTTTGAACTTGTTTGTATTATAAACATTTTTGAATTTTGACCTTTAAACAACAAGCATGATTCTAAAAATTAGGAATCAGTGAGATTTACGCAAGCCAATTACAGACAATGACGTGAAAAATATATATATACGGTAGAACCCCGATTATTCGTGATTCCTCATTATCCGAGGGAAACCCGTAAGTGAATACGTAATTTTTCCTACTGTAATTCATAAAATAAAGTTTAAAATGATAACACACGTTACAAAATAATTTACTTGTTATGTTTTATTGTTTAAAAAAATCATTCATATTAAAATGTAACTATATTAACACATTTTTATTCTTATTGTACCTATTAGATGTATAATAAATGATGTAAAATTGTTGTTTTTATATATAACTAGCTTACCCGTCGCGCATTGCTGCGATCTCAGAAGAAAGGAAATTCAAACAAACTCATTATGATAAAATTCAATTTACATTTTATCATTTTTATTCAAACTTATTATTATTATTCATTTTCATCGGGAAAACATTTCAAAGTGTTGTTTCAATTCTATTTATTTATTGGAGTGCTCGTGGATACATGATATTTTTTGTTTTTCCGTCTGGTGCGTACACGAATAAATCAGATTTTCCGACGCGTGAGCCGGCCACATACAGTTGTCCATGCGAGAAGCACGGATTCTCCAAATTTAGCCCATACACTTGCAGCGATTGTCAGAAATGCGATATTCCCCATTTATATATATATATTTAATCCTTTATAATTTTAATTATTTAATTGCTCCTTCCTCTGTTCCTTGGTATGTTGTGAAATTTCTGATAGTTGGATAATAAACCGTTTTATTGTAATTTGTCTTTTTAAATTATTTTGAGTCGATATTAAAATTTGGAAAAGGGGGGATACCTNTCTCAAACATAGATCTGTTGTTATTATTTTTTTCATTTCGTCGTTCATTTTTGGTCTCACTGCCCAGAATTTTTTAAGGATTATATTTCTGTCTTTAACCGATTCCATTATGATTTTTATTATTTGCTTATTATGATTATTTTTTTAACTGTACAAGACCCTCAATTTCTATATTGTTAAGTCCAGAACATCATTAGTAAACTTTTTAAACTCTTCTAACACATCCAAAGTTTTAAATGGAAAGTTCAATATAACTAAATTTTTCTTTGTATTTTCATTTAACATTTTATCGAGTTCGAATTCCAACATACCTTTTAAATTGGTGTAAGAATTAGACTTTTCTTCCAGTGTGTGTATCCTTTGACTAATTAGAGCTAAATTTTGATGAATTTTTTATATTTTTAAGAACAAAATAATTTTAATAAAGATTAAAATAAATTAGAAAAACGTTGATAAATTAATTATTAAATTACTTTCTTTTGTAACGTTTTAATAATTTAAAAAATATATATTTTTTCGTAAATTTTTAAAAAATTTTGCTGCTTTTTTAAGAAGAAAATTATTAAAGAAATTTAGAAAAAAAATTATTATAATAATGACGCATAATGCGAGAAAATTATTATTAAATTATTTTAATCTAAAATATAATTTTTAGAGTAAAATTAAGAGCGAAATTTCGATGAATTTTTAATAAAATTTTTCTTGATTTTTTTCCTTCGTTTTTTTTAAAAAGCAAGCGGAGGCCATTTATATTTCATAGACTGAAAGGGACTTAATGTTTATGTCAACACTAACATTAGTTTTACAAAACTGATTGTTCAAACAAAGAACGGTTGAAAGTTAATGGCTTTGCAAGCTTTAGCAACTATATTCTAAGTACATATTTTGAAGCACCTTTAATCACTTTTTTACTGTTTTCTTTTCTATTTTTCAATTCTTGACTCAAAATATTTTTACATACAAAACAATTCTTTTCTTCTTCTTTTTCTTCTTCCTCCTCCTCTTCTTCTTCCTCCATTTTTTTTAATATTAAAAAATACATATGACGTTTTAATCAATAAAAACATTCTACAGAAGAGAAGAGAAAGATAAGGAAAAAAATTGTAACTTTGATATAATATATGAAGTATCTGTAATTAAATTTCCATGAAAAATTACAAGAAAATTTTAATATTTATTTGGATGAGCGTGCATACCATAAAGTCGAAGCGGCATCTGGTGAGCGAAGTTGTAATTATTATTATTTTTTCGAAAAATTTAATATTTAAAAAATTGCTTCGGGTCAACCTGTAGTTCACGGGCTATTAGATCGTTACGGTTTGTTTTATTGGGCAATCTTTTTTGATAAATTTAAAAAGTTGTAGTATAATTAAAGAAAGTCTTTTATATAAATTAATTTCTTTTTCCCCAATACACTTTAAGATAATTAAAATTAATTTTAAAATGCTGGTTAGCTCAAAGTGTAGTTCGCGATCTACTAGGACGTTAAGAATTGTTTTGCTGGATAATTCTGAGATAAAATAAAATTTATAGCCAATTAAATAAATTATTTTTCAATAAATTCAGCAATTTGCGGAATAATTAGAGAAATACATAAATTAATTTAAAAATTCATTTACTTCTCTAATTAACTTACTTATAAATTTATTTTTCCTGTAAAATTTTATATAATTAAAATTCAGTTTTTATTTTCTAAATTATAAGAATTTTTTAAATTTAAAAAAAAA